CACTGCCAGGGACACCTGAACAGCCGGACACTGCCAGGAACACCTCCACAGCCGGACACTGCCAGGGACACCTCCACAGCCGGACACTGCCCGGGACACCTGAACAGCCGGACACTGCCCGGGACACCTCCACAGCCGGACACTGCCCGGGACACCTGAACAGCCGGACACTGCCCGGGACACCTGAACAGCCGGACACTGCCAGGGACACCTCGGCAGCCGGACACTGCCAGGGACACCTGAACAGCCGGACACTGCCCAGGACACCTCCACAGCCGGACACTGCCCGGGACACCTGAACAGCCGGACACTGCCCAGGACACCTGAACAGCCGGACACTGCCAGGGACACCTCCACAGCCGGACACTGCCCAGGACACTTCATCAGCCGGACACTGCCCGGGACACCTCGGCAGCCGGACACTGCCAGGGACACCTGAACAGCCGGACACTGCCCGGGACACCTGAACAGCCGGACACTGCCAGGGACACCTCCACAGCCGGACACTGCCCGGAACACCTGAACAGCCGGACACTGCCAGGGACACCTGAACAGTCGGACACTGCCAGGGACACCTCCACAGCCGGACACTGCCAGGGACACCTCCACAGCCGGACACTGCCCAGGACACTTCATCAGCCGGACACTGCCCGGGACACCTCCACAGCCGGACACTGCCAGGGACACCTGAACAGCCGGACACTGCCAGGGACACCTCCACAGCCAGACACTGCCCGGGACACCTCCACAGCCGGACACTGCCAGGGACACCTCCACAGCCAGACACTGCCAGGGACACCTGAACAGCCGGACACTGCCCGGGACACCTCCACAGCCGGACACTGCCAGGGACACCTGAACAGCCGGACACTGCCAGGAACACCTCCACAGCCGGACACTGCCCAGGACACTTCAGCAGCCGGACACTGCCCAGCCCTCTGTACAAAATCACTGACAGAGGTGCGCTCCAAACTCCCATCTGCGTTCTACTTCGCCTCCTCGGCAAGTCCNGCAGCCGGACACTGCCCAGCCCTCTGTACAAAATCACTGACAGAGGTGCGCTCCAAACTCCCATCTGCGTTCTACTTCGCCTCCTCGGCAAGTCCGCCGTAGCTGTTGGAGCTGTTTTATCTTTCAGCAGGAGGATCTTGTTCAAAAGCGGGCATTTACATATTGATTACCTCATTAGCATATGATGCTAATGTCAACTGCTATAGATGATCCTTGTATTTTTCATGAGTACTAGGAAGTATTAGTCAATGCATAAAAAACCCTTGGAATATAATTTATAGTCTGTATCTATTTCTAGATGTCTCCTTATCATCTGCCTCCCTCAACAAAAGCTAATAATTATTAAAATAATTATTAAAACAATTAAATAATCTTTCCCTATTTTTACAGTCAAGAGTTTTGAGTGGCAATTAAATGGAAAACACAGAAGCCATTCAGCTATCTCATTGCAATTACTGTGGGGAATTCTATTGGATGACTATCTGACAAAAATGCTTTGGAGATTTGTTCCCTTTTAACCGTCTCCTGTGAAAGAGCAGAACATTATTTTACTTCCCTTGGTGATACACTGCCACATAAATTATTACTGCGGTGTCTCTCTCTTCTGGCATGTTCCTCACTGCTATGGAGCACTAAGCAGGCAAAGCAGATTACATTTGTCATGAAATCTCACCAGTCTGCAGCAAGAGGCACTTACTGGTACACAGGTTTAGCATAATTAGAGAAGTAGCTAAAAAGCTGTGTTACATGGGCACTTCTAAACACAAAGGTACATTATGTGAGAAATGGATTTCTTAAAAAGCAATGCTGCTGCAATTGCTTTTCTAAGAATTGCTGATACTTCGTTTCACATATGCATAATATTTGGGCAAAGCAGGAATATCTTGTGGCTGCAGAAGATGTGCAGCTACAGGTGTTACAACATATAACATAACATAACATAACATAACAAACATAACATAACATAACAAACATAACATAACATAACACAACACAACATAACATAACATAACATAACATAACATAACATAACATAACATAACATAACATAACACAACATAACACAACATAACATGATGAAAATTGTTTAGGGACATGCAGTTTCTGTACTACACACAAGAGGGCTTGGGCAGTAAATTCCTGTACCTCTTTTAAGGATGGACCTCAGTTACATTCCTGATTTCCTCACAGCCATGTGACCTAGGAATTTGTTTAAATTTAGCTTACATGCCAGACAACTTTACCAAAGTTTAATTGCTTGTTTGGAATGATGAATTGGGCCAGTTTCATCCATTGATCAAGTACTAAGAAGCTGTACTGGTTGCTTCAGGTATGTCCCTCCTGCAACCCCCTTTGAATTCAATGGGTTTTTTTGGCAGATCAGGTAATATTGAGTAAGAGTCGGGACCTTGTATATCTTGTAGTCTCTCATCAGAGATAAATTGTGACTAGTCAGCCCTTTTTTAAATTCATTGTAGGTTGTGACTCTTCAAAACTGAATGGGTACAAGTGCATGATGAAAAGATTAAATTTGTGAAGGAATAGCCAAGCCTCATATCAGCCAATCAGTAGTTATTAATTTCCAAGGGCAGAAAATCTGAAAATTATAATAATGTATATTGTCTAACAGCTTTTCTCTTTTGAGCCACAGGGGAAGTAGTTGTGGTAAGTTTAAAAGAACAATAAACTCTAGAATCCCGTTAGCTTTACTGGAAGAATGAATGGTAAAACTGTTTGAATTTAATTCTTCACTCAACAAAAATAACACCATCAACAATAACAAAAAAAAAAAAAAAAAAAAAAAAAAAAAAAAAAAAAAAAAAAAAAAAAAAAAAAAAAAAAACAAAAAAAAACAGGAGAAAAAAAAAAAAGTGATATTTCCTGGAAAAGGATTGTGAATGAAATGAGGTGTGTTGATTGTGCTTGTCACCATGGCAGGAATTAATTACAGTCATTGGTGCACACTTGCACTGACTGGCTTTCCTACAGTCAGGGGGGTAAACATCGTGGGAATCCCTCCCTTCTTCAGTTTATAAATAATCTACTTCTAGTAATGCAGTCACCTCTTCACAAATACAGACAGGGCAGAGGAAATGAAATAAAGAAGCACTGGGGAAATCTAAGGAATGCAGTGGGATTGTGCTGCACCTGAACAGCACAGGTTCAGAACAGTTGAGAAGGAACTGCCCTAGAGATGCATTTTACCTGGGAAAAGTCCTGGGAAGCAAAGCTGGTGATTCCCAGAGCACCACGAAACCTCCAGCACCCAGCCAACCCTGCGAGCAGAACAGAGAGGGTAAAAGTTGCTTACAGAAGCTTTGCCATGCTCAGGCTTGAGGAGACTGATAATCTTGCTGCATCACACTCTGGGGACTAATAATTGACTGCAACTTTGAGAGCATATTCTGAATTATCTTTGTTATTCTGCACAGCAGATTGACTTTGGCAGACGCAACCAACACCTAGTCTATGCAGTGTTCTTTCTCTATAAAGCTAAGCCTAGATTAAAATTTTGACTCTTTTATGGTAAAGATCCTAATTTAACATTGAAAGACCTCAGGAAATTGAAACTGCGTCTCTAGAGAAACTAATTTGCACTACTGCTTTTTCCTTTCATTATAATCATTTCCCAATGAATACATGAAATTGTTTTGTTAACTATGTTCTTAGTTTTCTGACTTTGCAGGAATTATTTGTTCCCTAGCATGGCAATGAATGCCTAAAAAAATTACAGTGATGTGGGAATTAAATCTTTATGTAGTGTTGATTTACTCTTGATATAAATGCTCGTCAGCAGTCTGGTCAAAAAAGGACCTGGGGTTAGCAGGCTCTAACTTAGGTTTACTGTAAAGTCGGTCTAGACAGAGTCTACAAGGACCTCTGCACATCTTGATGGCTAAAATTGATTATTTAATAATGTTTCTAAAAATAAGCATATTTACAAACTTTGTGGGCCCCAAGATTAGAACAAAACCTCTCCAAGACACGGAGTATCACTGATGAGCATCTCATATCTGATTAACAGCTTGTATTCAGCTGGGTTAAATGTTCCTGCAGTTTTATAGCCTTTGCTTTCCCTTGGCTTTAACTGGGAGATGACAGTGGCAGATCATTGCAGGTGAGTGAGATTCAGGTGTATGAGTGCCTCTGATCAGATTTATGAGAAGAGAACTGATAAAACTTCTATCTAAGACATGGTATTTGTGGGGCTAATTTAAACTTCCAAGTAACTCTGCAAATGTAGTTGGAAAAAATAGAGACAAGCTTGGGATCCCCGTTAAGACTGGTGCCCCAAGGCTTGTTCATTTTGTCTCGCTGCGTTATTAGTCTAACAAAACATTTCACTTTGCTTCATTAACTTTGTATCACCCAAACACTGCAATTAAAAGGAGGTAGCAGCTGCCTGGTTTGTGGAACTACAGAGGCATTTTCACAGATTACAGATACATCTTGGAGATGTAAGAAATAGATGGCAAGAACTCAGAATGATGCTGTGGCTGCTTAACAGTGTATTCCTAAATATAAAGACTATTATATTCCCAGGCATATACACCTTTCAGTAGTTTTGCAGAGCAAAATGTGGTCTGTAGTGTTGACGACTACTCTGTTTATTGAAACACTCACTCTCAAGAAAAATGTCCCCTTTAACTGATCCTAGTGCTGAAGCCCTACTGGTTCACGATAGCTTGTTGCCATGGTTGGGTAATGATGTCACACATTCTGCCCAGTGTCCATGCCAGAAAATAAATGAAAATGACTTTTTTAATTACTCAGAGTTACTTAGCAATTCCCTGGAAGGCTTAAAGTGAATTGCAAGGGAAAAAAAAACCAAGATGCCCCGTTGACCCTGCCTGCACAGTATCTTTATGCCAGTGGAGAGACAAAGTAAAACACCAGAGTAAATTCTCTGCGGGTTTGAAAACAAGGTTCTGTTACTGAAATACACTTTGTTACTCAACAGATTTCAGCGGGCTGAATATGAGCAGGAGGCTGGGTGAAGTGTGGCTTTAGGGTTCCCACATGAACACCTTTGTAACTATAGTTTCTGGAAGAGGGAGCTTGTCTCTTTCCCTCCATTGGTGACATTCGGACAGGAAAATGATCCTGAGCAGGGTACAGACATCACTACACCAGGTAGTAAATGCCACGCAACTGCTTTCTCCCACATCCCCTTTCAATTTGAAACCTAATTTGGGTTAGAACTGGCCTTTTGAAGTCGGCATCTGGAAGGCACAGAACAAGAGGGAATCTCTCGTAAATATACCAGAAAGGCTGCAGGAGCACCAGCGCTGTCTCTGCTCCCCAGACCTCGCCTTCGGCTTCCTCCTCCGCTCACATCGGCGGTGTTTGGAATGCGGGCGCTCTCTCCCGTCCGAGGCGAGCCCGTCCCGCCGCTGCCGGAGCGGCCGGGATCCCCGTGCCCGTGTTTTTGGCAGCCCGTCCGCGTCCGCGAGCAGCGCGGGCGGGGGCTCGCCCGGGCCCGGGCCCGGCGGCCGGGGCCCCGCGGGGTCTCTGCGGGGCCGGGCCGGGCCGGGCCGGCCGCGGGGTCCCCGGTCCGCCCGCGGGGCGGGGCGCGCTACCTGCGCGGCCGCGGGGCCGGGCGAGGCGCGGCGGCGGCGGCACCATGAGGGTTAACTTGGGCGCGCTCTCCCTCTTCGTGGCCCTGGTGGGACTTTTGAGCTTCATCTTCCTCGTGGTGGCCATCGCGACCGACTTCTGGTACATCATCGATGCCTCCAAGCTGGAGGCGTCCCGGAACGGCACGGACGCGCTCAGCTCGCACTCGGGGCTCTGGCGGACCTGCCGCGGTGAGTGCGCGGGCGGCGGGCCCGGGCAGCGGAGCGCTCCGCCCGCGGGTCGGGGCGCGGGGATGCGGGGTCAGGCTGAGGGGACGCGGGGATGCGGGGATGGGGGTGCGGGGTCAGGCTGTGGGGACGCGGGGACGCGGGGATGCGGGGATGGGGATGCGGGGTCCGTCCGGCTGTGGGCATGCGGGGATGCAGGGATACGGGGATGGGTGTGCGGGGTCAGGCTGTGGGGACGCGGGGATGGGGATGCGGGGATGCAGGGTCAGGCTGTGGGGACGCGGGGATGGGGATGCGGGGATGCAGGGTCAGGCTGTGGGGACGCGGGGATGGGGATGCGGGGTCAGGCTGTGCGGATGCGGGGACGCGGGGACGCAGGGATGCGGGGATGGGGATGCGGGGTTAGGCTGTGGGGATGCGGGGATGGGGATGCGGGGATGGGGATGCGGGGTCGGCCCGGCTGCGGGGTCCGGCTCGGGGACAGTGCCCGCTGCCCGCGGAGCTCCGGCTCTACCTGCTGCAAGGGACGGGCGCTCCCCGGCCGTGCCCGGATGCCCGGACCCGCGGGCAGTGCCCTGTCAATACCTCCCGTGTCACTTGCCCAAGGAGACATGGGGAGAGCGAATTTTCTGCTCCTGTAACCTGATTTTACATTAACTTTTAATTCAAGATAATCTAATAAGCGTTAACTGTTTGGAAGGAAGGAGATGTCTTTTCATTTGGCTCAGGAAATTAAGGGGCAAAAGTTCTGGGTTAAAGCCATTGAAATTATAAGTAATAATATAACAAATAAAAACATAAACACTATCTAGTTTATTTACCTAAACAACGCAATTAATTTAAATATAAGTATTATTATGTATCATAATATAGGATTATGATAATCCTATAAATCAATATATAGGATTTTACCCATGTAGTTAATTTATATGCTAGGCATTTAACTTTTGGCTTTGATTCCACTCTTAAAAGGCAGGAGTAAGTAATGTTTGCCATAGGCAAGAAAGGATGTTGTTTCCAGAGGAGCAGGGAGAAGGAACAGGTTACAGGAATTGGCTCTTTGCATTGCCGTTGCAATGAGCTGATGTTTCCCTGTTGACTCCAGTGGTCAGGCCCCACGGGAGCAGCTGATGCTGCATGCTGAAAATTCCCTCATTTCCTCCCCTACCTAGGAGTGGCTGTTTTGGAAGCAGCTGGTATTATATGAATTATATGTACATGCAAAGAAACAAATATATCTGTAGCAAACAGATATAATAGTGTATTTCCCCCCCTTTTTCTAATAGTGAGGAGTGAATGTTACCCTCTGATAAACCCCTTCTGGCATGAAAATGCGAACATCACCGATTCACACAGACAGCTTTTGTGTGAGTAGCATTTATATTATTTTATATTTCCATTCATCCTCCCCTCCCTCCCTGGCCACTTACAAGGACTCATTTCTGATTCAGAGGGAGAAGTCACTGAGAAAGTGTTTTGACTCTGTTTCTGTACAATATCTGTCACTGCTGTGGTCTTTAAGTGTATTTACTGTTGAAATAACCATCTATTTGATGACAAGTTCAGCTAATTTCTTCCACAGGAGCACAACCTCTCTGACTGGAATGGCACAGGAAGGTACACAATTGCCAAAAATAAAGGGCAAAAGTGTTCACAATCACCTCAAAGCAGTTTGATCACTGAAATGCTTAAGAACACATTTAAACTAATTTTAAACACAACTACTTTTCTAGCATTTCAGTGGGATTCCTGGCATTGATAAAAGACTTAAGTATGGGAGAATTTAGGAAAATAAATCAATTACCAAAAGCAGTGTTCAAAGTCTTTGAAGAACATCGTGTTCAAAAACATTAGGTTTCAAATATATTTTCTTATTTTTCTTTAGATTCATTTGTCAGTGCCAGGATGTTTTCAAAAAGTCCAAGTGGAACATTTTCAAATACTTACAAGTATCTCCTAGAAGATGATTTACCATCTTCGCATCATATATTTGGCATAAAACTTTCCTCACACACTTTTGTGTATGGGTTGGTTTTTTCCAATTTTTTTATTTCTTCCTGACTCTGCAGAATACATTTATTTGTCCTGTTTCTTAAAATGGACCATTTTCAAAACCAGCCATTCCCTGGGCTCCAGAGGGGTTTAAAGGGTCTTTAGTTTCTTGGAGCAGCATCTGGTGGTCCAGCAGCCATATAAACACATCAGCAGGGTCAGGACTTAGAGCCCAGCATGTCTCTCTGTGCTTTCCAATAGGAAGTGCCATTTCTTTCATCTTCCAGGCTCCAAACAGAGGCTGCAGCTGCTCCATGGGTCTGAAATCAGTGGAGTCTGAAATCAGGGATTGTCTGCTGGATCACTCGAGCCTTTGAGGGCTCAGCACTTTAACTGAGCCTGCCTGATCATGTTTTAAGTGTTGGCATCTCCACCGTTATGTTGGTGATAGTCCAACATTTCAGGACGAAACAATTTGCTTTTCAAAAGTTGTGTGCATATTTGCAAAAGGTTATTTTTTTCAGGTAAGAGATTGCAGGTCTTCAGTTAAATAAAAAAAAACAAACCAAAAAGCAGCACTCTTTTGGTTATAAAAATGATGTTGGCTTGGAAACAAAGGATGGCTCTTTGTGAGTCATGAAGTGTAAGAAAATAGTGGATATGAATAAAAATTGTATTAATAATTATGTTTACAGACTCTTCAGGGCCTTGGAGAGTTTTTTTCTCTCGCTTTCACATCAAACACTGTTTTCATGTTCCTGGAAAAAGACTTCAAGTCTGCAAAGACACTTGCATATTTTATTATAAACAGGCATAGACTGCCTAAAAGTGATGAGAGAAGAAATCAAATATCTTTGATTTCTCTTCAATTGAAATAACCTGCTATGTTTGATTGGAATGCCCTACTGAGTTAACTTTTTGATTTTTTTGCTCAGCTTCAATGCAGTTTCATTGTGGTGAGGCTACAGATCCTCAGCAGTTGCAGCTGAACATAGAAAGTACCATGTCAGTACTTCTTCCTTCCAGGAAATACAGATCTTTTTAAGTGATATCTAGATTAATCAGGTCCTGAGATAGTACCTTGTACATCAGCTTTACTCTTCTCTCTTGAATGTTTCTGACTGGCCACTGAATCATGTTTAGGCAGATCATGGCAAACCATCTTCATCTACAACACATTTTAACAAGAATTTTAGAGGGCAATTCTGTGATCATGGATTGCAGTGCAGTTACAGCAGATTCTTCATCTGCTGTTATATGTGGCAAACAAGATAATTGCACAGCTTTAATTGGTTACTTCACAAAAATGATATTTTTCCATCCGTGTGCCTGGGAAGGTGTTTGTGGGGCACAGTCACGTGGGATTAATCTCATTCCATCTAGCTGTACACTCATATTTCTCACTGTTTGATTGGCACTGAATTTCATGAGCTCTGGCAACATCAAACCTGTTTCTTTTTGATTATTCCCAAAAAGACTTCAAAGGACTGTCCCCTAAAGTAGGCACTTAAGTAACACATTGGTCACATCCCTCATTCTCCAGAGTTTGAATGCACTTCCTGGCATGTCTGAGCTAGACACAAATAGCAAAGAGATTGGAGAAAGTCTGGGCCTAAGGGGAAACAGAAGTGCTGGCCACTGCCAGAAGACAAACCCTTCATTAGGGAATGAAAAGCCTCCATGGTCCCTTCCTCCACATTTGCAATACCTCCCCTATTCATCCCAGCAGATTCCTTTTAGCTTTATTGTGTACTTCAAATTGAGCTCCTGGCAAATTAAAATAATTGGGTACATGAGTTAAAACCCTGTGCTAGCAGCAATATTACCCAGCCCATCAATCTAGGGCTTGCTAAGCCTGGGACTGTGATGTATTTTCACATCACAGTGCTCTGGAGCTGCTCCTCTAATGGATTGGACACAAAAACACTCTCTCCTCTTCATTAGCCTTCCCTTTCTTCTCTTACCACTCCCCACAGCTGAACATGCAGTGTATTCCCTCCCTCCCCTCAAATGGATAAAATAATTTCCTATTACAGATTGCACTATGGCCTGGTTATTTGTTTAAAACAACAGCCATTGTCTGAAGAAAAATACCACTTGACTGCCTACCACTAGCTTTTCTGAAACTTCTGCATTAATAAAATTCTTTTTCACTGGAGATGTACACTTTCCTCTGGCTCACACAGGAATAAAATGAAAGTATCACTTTCTATAATTTAGACAGTTATTAGAGTCTCTTGGTGACTACTAGGATTAAAGATAGCCCTCTGAAAATTCCCCTTAGAATTTAAATTTGTCAGCAAAGACACCCCTGATGTTTTGCTTTGCCATGTGTTCTCCTGTGCCAGCTATGGCAGACAAGCAGCAAGAGCAACATTTTTCATGATGAGCTGAATCTATCTCTCTCTAAATGACAAAATAAGGATGTCACTGACTTCAAAGGCAGCTGCATCGAATTCTGAGCAGCTTCTCCATTTTCCAGTAGCAGAAATGTAACATCCAAAATCAGATCTAGATGTTGAGGAGCACACACAGAGAGAGGGAAGCTGCTGAGTAGAAGGAATGGCAGTGCTTAATCAGCTGAAACCTTTTCCCCCAGAGTTTGAGCTTTCTAAAAGAATTTCTTAAAAGAAAGGAGAAACCCAAACAAGAAACCTCAACTTGTTATACTGGTGAAAAGTTGCTCTTAGACATTTTTGTCATATAAATATTTTCCATTTATCAAAGCCTATGTCATTAATAATGAATAAATGCCATTACAGATTTAGCTGAAGGCAGCACCAGTGTAATCCTCGCAAAATGAAAAATACTGTAAATATTTCTATTCAAAACCACACCATTTCTCTTGAATCTCAGCTTTGCACTTGAGCTGCTGCAGGGTCCCACCAGCACTGCAGAGCTTGGGCTGAAGTTATGAAAAATAATGTGAGAAGAACAGCTTTTCTTTCTTACTTGTCTGTGTGACACATAAACCATCTCCATAAGGTACCTCCAAGGTAAGATTAAGCCTCTGGCAATCCTGATTTTTTGTCAGAGATTTGGACATTATGGCCAGTGATTGGTTTCCTTTTACAGGTCCATTTTTAGTGCTTTCCTCTATTTCTGACCCATCCAGAAATGAACACTTAATGGATGTGGTTTCCACTCATATTGTTTTTCCTGTTATAAAATCAAGACTGGAGCGTGCAGCTGCCCATGCACCACTGTTTTAAGTATTCTCCCCAGAGTATTTTTATTTTTTCTTTTTTAGACACGAATGTAACTGGAACCACAAGGCTGCAGACAAGTTCATGCTTCCTGCAGGGAAATGATCTTTGCAGCAGAGGCAGCTCTGATACCTCAGTTGTTTTAATGTAACAGCTGCCTTGGTTTCTTCCTCAACAAAATGGGTTTAATAGTACAGATAAACTTGTTTGGATTTCCTCACAGCATGTGGACCCTGTAATAGTCATGCACCAGCTGCTTTCACACTTTACCCTGCTCCATTTTTACTGAGTTGGAGTTTATAATGCTAGAAAGAATGCTCTATTCTTTGGCCACTGTGACATTTTTTCTTGAGGATTTACAGTTCTTTGCAAATTTTCTTTTGGTTTTAAGCTCCCAGAAGGAAACAGCTGGGGCTGGAGCAAGAGCCATTTCAGAGGCCAAGTGAAATAAGACCCAAATGATGCACACAGAAATTCTGGCTTAACTGGTCTGCTAGGTGTGTACCTGTTTCTGAGCAACAGTGCACTGTTCCTTCAGAGAGGTGCCAGTGGACATCTGCTCCAGTACTTGCTGTAGATGCAACAGCAAATATATACAGAAATCCAGGATAACTGAGGCCTAACCAGTGACAAGTTCTGATGAGTATTCTCATTTTCAGATTCATTGGTACCCCAGCAACAGCATGTGAGCCACAGTGCATTGCTCACATTCATCATTCTACCCATTCCTGCTACTGCAGATTTTGTCAGTGCCACCTGCTCCAGGACTAGCATAATTTTATTTCTGCTGTCTGCAATTGGTTTTCCTGTTTAGCTCAGAGATTTTTTGAGAAAAGCAGGAAGCCCAAAGATGTAATGCACAGACCAGAGCCTGGCTAATCATCCTGGAGACCCCTAACTCTGTGAGCAATCCTCCTCCATCACCTTTTCTCTGTTGCACAGCAGGGAACCCAGGCCTTCCTGTCCCTGTGGCCCAAGCCCAGAAGACTCACATTGAGCCACAGACAAGTTCTTTCAGTTGTTCATTGGTTTTGTAAGTTGTTTCCTTACTTTCTTCCTAGCAAGCAGGCCAGACTTTCTGTGTGCACTGTTTCTTCTTGGCTTTGCCAAGTCCTTCTGGAGCAGCCCCATCGGTTTTGACAAGTGCCAGGAGTCTGTTTCAGCTGGAGGCTTTTGTCTTTCTAACTGGCTGTGTAGTTACTGCTGGGCAACACAAACAGACCCTTAATTAAGCTCTTCTGAGCTGCTGCCATTTGGAGTATTTCTGATGAGGTGATATTACAGATTTCTAGGCACTATTTGCTATTATAAGCTGTGCAAACAAATCCAAAGTTAGTTTGAAGCAATTAAGCTGCAGGATGTTAACAGGAGATGATTAACAAAACTGCTGGGCTTGCACTTGCTTACTTCTGACACTGCGCAGTGTTTCTATTCCATTCCACACATTTCTCTCACAAACAACCCCTCAACAACTGTGTTGGGCGATAGTTTAGAGATGCCTGCCAAATTCTCAGTTCTGGACACACACTGCAGATGTCATTTTTACAGATATTTGGCCAGAGCTCTAGTAAAAGAGCTTTGGCTAGCTAATGTAAAACTTCAGTAACCACGATTAAGCAATTTGATTATTTTTTGCTTCAAAGAAAGGGAGTGTTTTTTAAAAGTTTATGAGCTAGTTTCAGTATTTCCAAGATTAAACCATTGGATCTTTCATGTAATAGGGAACTCAGGTGTTGAGAAATAGATATGGGAAACTGAATTCTGTTTTATAACAAAGTGCACGTGCCTCTTCTTGTGCAAAATGCTTAGGGTGTTTTTTCTTTTTCCAGTACTAGAACAATTTCATCAATGTTAAGACAGTTATATGTTTATACATAATGTATAAATGTGTATTTCAACAGAAACTAAAAAAACACTAACATGACTGCAAAATGAATGTTTTAACTTCTTTCAAAGATGATTACTGAAGACAGAAGCACAGTAAAGATATTTTAAGTAATTTTGTTCTATAAACTAATTCTGTTCCTCTAATCAAGGAATATAATGGCATAATATCATATGCCAGATGGCATGAATTCAGATTTCTGAGTGGTTTCCATGGCAGCATTTTAGAGTAAGTTTCCCAGTCAGTTTCAGATTTCATAGTACAAATGAGTATTAGATATTGAACTAGAACACTGGAGATTAGAAAAGTACTATTTAACCAAATAGAATTCACTAAATATTTGATTTTTAAAAGCTACCAGTGATTAATGAGAAGTGTGATCCCAGCTGTGGGTAGGAAAAGTAAGGCTCTGTCACAGTGAGGTTTCTGGGTTTCAGCTGAGCTATCCCTAAACCCTATATTTTCACTGAAGAGGGCATAAAAATCAGAGTTATTCTGATACTGCAATTGTCACAGATGATTAATGTAATCTAGGAAACTCCCAAGGATGCTCTGGTATGGTTTTCTTTTCCCTTTCCTTCCTCAAGTTCCATTCAGAGTGTGTTTTGCTCACCCACCCATGTCCTGACTCAGGGTGCAGTAGCTGAAATCACACCATGACAGGAAAATTCACAGAATTGGCAAGTTAGTGCTGCTGTCCTGAGGTGGAGTTTGTCAGCAGTGACTTGGGCTGGTGAGGGACACCTGGAAAGTCACAAGGCAGAGAGCCAGCCATGAACTTGGTGATGTTTGTTCTCTCTCAGCAAGGCCAGCTCTGAGGACAGAGTTGCACCGTTCTTACTTTTATACTTTGCAAATGTTAACTGCATCCTCCCAAGGCTTTTTCACCTTTTACTGCTAAGATGACACATGGTTGTCAGAATGGTGGGGAATAATCAAAATGAGACCAAATAACCCTCAGCAAGCTCAAATGTGGCTGCAGACCACTCTTGTGCTGCTGCTGCCTCTGTGGAATACGAGAACTGAGTGGGTTCCCCATCTCTCTTCTGTCACCCTGTGCCTCATCCCATCCCCAGCCACCACCACGGGAAACTCCTGAGCCAAGTTCCATGGCTATGTCTCATCTTGGAGTTCAGCTGAGGTTTGCAGGCAGATTTGACATGCTGGCTTGTTCCCAGGAAGCTGAGGACTGATCTGGCTGTTGGCACTGAGAATTGCTTGAGGTCTGTGCTTGTTGGCCAGGAAAGCAGCCGTGGCCAGTTTTGCTGAAGGAGGGCCCAGGGAGCATCCTCAGCTTTAGAGTCAAAGAGGGGAAGTGCTCTCTTCAATGCAGAATGTTGAATTCATGATTTCTGAGCATCAGCTGGTTCTGATGTCAGCATATGTGGGACTGGAAACGAAAATATAATACCAGAAGCAGAAAAAAACTCCCAAAATTGTCCCCTCCCAAAACTTTGTCATTTGCCACTTTTTTTTGTTTTTGTTTTTTTGTTAACATGTTCTGTGCTACGCAAAACAATATCTGGAAACTACATTCTACTCAAGTACCAACATCAACAGTGTCTGCCTTGATGCCATGCAGACCCTGGCTAACCCTGGAACTGAACAGAGATGTACACAATTGTGTCTGATTTTGTATTGCTACTGTTGAGGATGAGCCAGTGGCAGATGCAGTAGCTCCAATTCCAAGGGCAGATACAGTGACTTGAAAAGATTATTTGATCACACACCAAGTGTGAGCTCTTAAGTGATTCCTTTTCCTAAGCTAATGGTGTATTGTTCCTCTGTGAAATTAAAAGAGACAATGAAGCCTACACCTCTTCAGAATATGGATTTTACATTTTCTTTTCACAGTTACTCTGCACTTTACTTTGGGATGAAAAAAATTGATACTGGAATTACTTTTTTTTTTTGTTATTATTCTAAAGTAAGGTTGGGTTGAATGTTGTGGATAGATTACATCAAAGGGAACAATGACACAATAATGGTTTATGATGGAAAAAAACCAGGGTGATATGAAAAAATACATAGCAACCCTCTGTTTACAGAGCTATTAAAATGTTATAGGGATCAAGAAAGACTAATGTAAAACATTTAGCATGGGAGGAAGCAAGGAGGATAGGTTAATGCACTTAGTGAAGCTGCTGTAGAAAACAGTGACAGACAGAACCAGAGCTGGATGGGAAAATTTACCTCTAGTTGATGGTCAGCTGCAGCAAAGGAAAAGGTCAGCAATTTGTTATATCAGTGCAGCAGAGGACACGTGTCAGGAGAGAAACCTTTAATCAAAGCTTGGCTGGGCCTCACCTCCCAGGCAGAGCAGTGTGATTCACATCACAGGGCTACTTCTCATTAAGGTTGCCAGTGCCTACGTGGTATGCAGGGCACCACCTGATATCCAGCTGGCTCAGGAGCTGAGGACAGTTTGATTGCTCATCTGTATCTGTGTAGATATATCCTCTCTCTCTATCTGTGGTGTCTGTTTGAATCACAGGCTGTAATCCTGTGAGGGTTTGTTCTGTTTGTTACCTTTACTTCCATACCATATGTTTGTCCTGCTGATTTACACTGAAAACCCAAGGGGTTGCCCAGTTTCTTGTTTGTGCAGCACAGAATGAGGCTTTGATCCTGATCAGGGGCTCTGCACTTAGTAATTATTGGTACATCCACTGACACCATAATAAAATATTCCAGTATTAACATTCTTCATTTTTCTTCAGATATGCACGGAACATTTGTCATCCTGATGCCCCTCAGCCTGATACTGATGATTTTTGGAGGAATGACTGGATTCATCAGTATTCTTGCCAGGGCCTACCTACTGCTGCTAATGACGGGACTGCTTTTCCTTTTTGGAGGTACTAAATCCAACTCCTGGCCTAACTGTTTTAGATAACAAGAGCTCGTATCTGGGAAACATCACTTTGTTTCCCAGGGAATAAAAGCAAGAATTTGCTTTCAAAATTATGCTGGTGTTCATTCACCTGGTGTCTGCTGGGGCCCTGGTTCAGGAACAGAGATACTTAGGAAAGGCAAATATCCCTCCTTGGGGAGTGAGACACCTTGGAACAATCTGTGTTTGCTGTGCCCATTAACACAAAAGATTCAATAACTTCTCAGCATGGTGCACAAATCTTTGCAGACAGGCTAATGGGGTGATGGAAAAGTGACCGTGGAATTACTAAATGGTAGGCTTGCACAGATTTTGCAGCTATTAAGAAAACTGAAGTTTTTAAAAAGGCATTTGCATTGAGTTCCTGAAAAGGGAATTCCTGGTTTAGCCTCACTGCTAGTTTTGATCTAGAGTGGTGTCCCCAAACTGTGGGTCACAAAAGGAAACCCCCAAAAGTTATTTTATTTGGAGTGTAACATTTCAATTTGAAGCTAGTAAAATACTTTTACACTTCCTTTTATATTTTTCTTTCCTGCTGTATCCAAACCCACTGTGTTTAGAAAGTTATTTATGAATTAAAAAACCTAAAACTATCCTGTCAAAGTAGGAAAACTGTGTTTAAATCTGCATCTTCTGTTTCAAACAGATTTTCAGTGCTATTTCACAATGTAACTTAAAATGGAAATTTTTCCTAGCAGAAAAGGGGATCCTCAGAATTGGCTCTCATCAACTGCTCATACAGTCCTATTTTTAAGAAGAAAATGCTAAGAGATTGCTGGAAGCAAATGCTGCTGTCTCAAAGCCTTGACTGAGCTTTTTAGTCTGAAGTGCTCTAACACCAACCAACCACCCCCCATTATGATTGTCTCCTAAAAAGAAGAGCAAGTTCTAATTCCTCAGAAGAGCAGAAAGCTGCATTCACTGAAAAGGCTGGTGGGAAACTGCTCCAAATAGTCAGTGAGAGATGAAAAGCTGTCAAGTGCCAAGCATGATTATCCCACTGGGGAGTGGAGCAGGCGCCTTTCTAAGCTGTTTGGGGCTGCAAAGAGGGAAAGGAAACACAGGATTGTCAGGAGAGGGCTTGAGGAGGTTCTGGGCATGCAGCTGGGCAGTGACCCAGGAGAACATGAACAGACTCAGGGTGGTCTTTGGCTGAGACCAGCCCCCCATCCTGCTCTGGCTGGGTGCACAGAACAGTTTTGTAGGACACTCAAATTCACAAAGTTCAGTATTAGGTAGCTCTGTCTCAGCAGAAAGATATTTGGAGATGCCATTCCAGAAATGTGGGTTTTTTTAAACCCTCAGAACTGATATGTTCCACTGGTCAGAACATCCTATAGGCTTCTGTTTCTTTTTTTTTTTTTTTTTTTTAAGAGAATTTGCACAGAATTCAGTGCACCTTGTTGAAAATGTCAACAAATCAGTCTTTTCCATTTCTCCTGACAAAATGTATGAAGCAATTTCCCCCACTCCTTGCTGAGGACTAGAATAAGGTACAGGCATCAGATGATGGTTAAAATCAGGACTATGAGCATGAATTTGAACTGATGGATAACCCAATACCCTTCTATCTTGGTTTGCCGCTAATCAAACATATTTCTGGCAAAAAGGCATCTCATCAGGACTTACTGTAATTTAACAGAAAGCTGTATCAAAATTTTCTCTCTCAGAATCAAATCCACTATTTTGTCCTGAAAGTGTTTAGTACATACCTTCCCTAGGCTGCAGTCCTTTTATCCAGGGCCTTTTCTGCTGCTGATCCAGTAAAGGGTGATTTCCATCGGTGCCTGTCCTTTGACTGACAGGGATGTCAGGCTCAGGATGCAGTGTGTACCTGTTCCAGATGTGCCATTCTTTACATTTGTTACCTTTTGAACAGTCTTTTCATTCTGAAAGCATCTGGCTCCTTGTTTGAGTGCCCTTATTAATTTATTTGTAGTCTGTCCCAAAGGTGTCTTTGACTCAGGTATTTGGAAGGGATGGGCAGTCACGGCAGCACAGCACTTGGTGGGAGGTAATAGTTGAAGACTAACAAATTTACATTAAACACTCAAAACTGACAATACTCAGGAAACAGCCTCCATGCAGTGATCTGAAATGCAAGAATCAGTGTCTCTGTGGGCTTTCTTGCATACAGGGAGATAACTGTCCACGGTGCTCAGCAGTGAGGAATCAGGCAACACTACAATGCAGTTCTGAAAAGAGATGCACCTGCATTAGATACCTGTGAAACACAGGACTCGATTTCTGTGAGGGAGGCTTGCTGCCAGGTGCTGTGGTTCAGTCTTTAACAGTGGGAACACATTATTCTCAGTGGACACAAGTAACCCTGCCTTTACTTCCCTCTCACCCTCATTGCCCAAGAAACCAACCTCAGGTAGATTTCAAAGATAATCTGTAAATATGGCCTGGCTAGATTATGAAGACCATATCCAATTGATTGTTTTTAGTTTCTTCAGTGGCTGCTAAGTAGCTGAACATGTTTCTCTTTTCAGCTCTTGTTACCCTTACAGGGATCAGTGTCTATATTGCATATTCAGCTGCTGCCTTCCAAGAAGCTGTTTGCCTCCTGAGGAGCAAGGATCTCCTGGTGGAAATCGATATCAGGTTTGGCTGGTCCCTGGCACTGGTCTGGATCTCCTTTGTGGCAGAAGTGCTCACTGGGGCCGTGTTCCTGCTGGCAGCAAGAGTGGTGGGTCTGAAACGGCAGCGTGAGCAGACTTTATGAGCAACAGGTGCCTTTGCAAGAACAGAGTCCTGCAGAGCCTGGAATTGGGATTACTTGGTCCATCTGGTCACTGGGGGCAATAAGAGTGCAAGGCTGAGTATCTTGTCAGCTGCTGTAAGCCTTTTTCCTCACAGGTGGCTGTAAAACACAAAGACTGGTAAATCAGTAAAACATTCCAGGTGTTGTCAATTAGGAAACCCTGGTGTCCTTAGGAGAGAGTGCATTGCAGTGTTTGTATTTCCAGAATAATTTCAGCTGGCAGCTCATCAGACATCTCCATTTGTTGCTTAGAACAAGGCAGATTTCTTGCTTTCTTTTCTCTTTTCTGCTGTCTCAGCAGAGTGCCTCGGAGTACCTTGCAGGCCAGATTTTGGTTTCTCCCAAGAGCTCTTAAAAGGATGTGGACTTGTTGCAGTGAGTGCAGAGGAGGCCATGAAGATTCTCAGAGGACTCTGGAGAGGGACTGAGAGAGCTGGGGTGGTTCAGCATGGAGAAGAAAAGGCTCTGGAGAGACCTTAAAGCCCCTCTCAACACCTAAAGGGGCTCCAGGAGAGCTGGACAGGGTCTTTAGACAGGTGGTTGGAACTAGATGATATTTCACATCCTTTCCAACCCAAACCATTCCAGGATCCTGCAATCCAGCAGATGGTAGTGGCTGTGATGCTGAAGTTCTGCAGTGCACTGCAAGAGAAAGATACAGCTGTTTTCCAGATGTTCTAACTGCTGGAGACAGCCCCAGTCTCTCAATGATCAGGCTACATACTGCCCTCCTTCAGCTTATTACTAGCTGCCTTTTCAACTCTGCAATTCAGGAGATGTATCTGATATATTTTCCAGTTTTTACTTTGCAGTTTTTATGATGCTTCTTTTTGATGAAGTTTGTGCACATGCTTTGTGCTGGAATGTTTATCTTGTGCTGAAACTCCTGAGTAAGCTGAACATGCAGGACACATGAAATTAATTTTGGGTGCCAAGCAATCTAGATTTTTCTCTTCAGTGCCCATTGATGTTACTGAAGGAATTTCCCCCTGGCTCCTGTGCTGAATAGATATTTGAATGTGATAACAGCTCCACTCCATTTCTGATAGATCATGTATTTCTGGAGCCTCAGCACTCTGCAGTTCAGGACTGTGCCTCAGGAGCTGCGTCAGGCACCCTCTGTCCCTTGTACATTCTCCAGCAGCACAAAGGGCATCATTCACCTACCTCTGTTAAACACCAGAACAATTTTACCAGTGTGTCCTGTGTTAAAGATTCACTCTGACCAAGCTCAGCTCTTAGTCCCAAAGTACCAATGCTTTTATGAAAAAATAGTGGCAGGGAGCTCCTGAGAGCTGACAGACTTTGGAGATAGAAGGGAGCATTTAATGCCATGCTGTGAATGGAGAACTGAGTCAGAAAACTTGTTCAAGGTGACATGAAACCAGAGTTTCTGAATCCTGGGCTAAGGCCTTACTTGTCAGATCTTGTGTGTTATTAGAATTAAATAGGGTTTAAAATCCTGATAGCCTGAGCAGTAGAAATTCTGTGACTAACTAATATAATTTTATAATTCTTAGTTGCTCCCACATTGGTTTCAGGTATTTTCCATGTTGCCTTATGTTGGGACCATGTAATTGAGTCATTTTACAAGTTAAAGCATACCAAATCAGCTCTATAAGAAGTGTAAGGAAAAAATCCTTTGTAGTCAAAATTCCATGTGCTTAAGTGAATTATATAAAATGTAATTCTCTGTTTTGGTGCTGGTGAAACGATTTATAAAGCAATTTGTATGATGTTATTAATTCATATAAGCTGTAACAGTAAAATATCATCTGAGTTATTTTTTGAATGTTTATTACAGATGTTATTTTGAAGTGGTTTTGAGTGTTGTAAAATTAAATAAAATGACATCTCAGAGTGGGAATTATTTGCCAAGACATGAAAGAACTAAGATATTTATTTTTCTTTAACTTTTTCTGCAGATTTATTCTACTGTTTTTATAATGTTTTTGAAGTTCCTGTGTCAGATGTGGTAGGTATTAGAAAGATACTTACACAGCTGCAATATAAAATACTCAAGTGATCAAATCTAATTAGCAAGCCAATGAATCTCTTATTGAATTAGAGCAATTCTCATTTCCATGGCTCTCCTAAATTTCTCATTCTGGCTTCCTGCAATAACTGGCACAATGGTAATAAAGAGTATCTTCTGCTCCTGAACGTTTGCGTAACCCCTGAATTTCTCTGAAATTCTTTCTGAATACAAAGAACAAAAGATGGTTTGGAATAGTCAAATTAGCATTGAACATTTTGAAAAATCATACTGGGAAGAGGAAACATTCTAGAAAGGACTTTATGCAATTTGAAAAAATGACCTTATCAACTTCTTCCTCTTACTGAAATTAATGTTTATTTAATACCATGTTCTTTGTTATGTTTTCCCCAAAATACTTTACTGAGATGAGGAGAGAGACTGCTCCCATTACTTTCTGGTGAATTGCAAACTCATTGGTAATTTGCCACATCGAAAGTGAAGAAAAACAGATGCACAGAGCAGAGCAGCACTGCCTGAGAGTGCTCACAGCTCCTGCCCAGCACCAGGCACTCCTTTAAGGACTTCTTGAGGGGTGGCAGAGAAGGACAGGGGAGGTCAGAAGAATCCTTGGATGTGAAAAATGTGGAAATATTTATTCCACACAAGATGTTTAGAGGCCATGCTGGTGAATGCAATGCAGCCGTGGCATCACAAGGATTCAGTGTGTGCCTGTGCTGTTCCTGCAGAGCAGTCCCTGTGTCCCACCTCTGATGGCCAGGGGGACAGAACTGCTTTGGGCAGAGCTTCAGTCCAAGGAAACCCAGCTTTGTTACCACTGATCCTCAGCCAATCGTTCCTGTGGGTGCCAAAGTCACTCTATCACACCCTTTATCACAGGGCACACACATCTGCTGAGTTTGGGACCAGGTAAGGGCAGGGATAAGTCACTTGCCAATTACTGTCATGGGCAAAACAGACTCAGCTTGAGGAAATTAGGTTAATTTATTATTAATCGGAGTAGGAGAATGAGAAATAAACCTAAATCTTAAAAGCATCTTCTACTCACCCCTCCCTTCTTTCCAGGCTTAACTTTACACAGTCCTCTGCCTCCTGTCCCCTGAATGGCATGGTGGGACAAAGGATGGGGGTTCAGTCTGCTCATCACATGTTGCTTGTGAAGCATCTTCCTCCTCAGGGAGAGGACTCGTCACACTCTCCCCCTGCTCCAGCATGGGGTCCCTCCCAAAGGACCATGAGCTCCTCCAGCGAGGTCTTCTCCTGTGCCGGAGCTCACCCTGGGTCAGGGGTGGCTCCGTGTGGTGGAAAAGTCTCTCCTCCAGCCCGAGCTTCCAAAGAAAGGCTCAGCAGTCTCTGTTGTTTGGTCTCAAGGCAGTTTATTGCAAGTTATCTAAAAGATTTTCTTCTCTGCTGCTGTGGTTTGCTCAGAGCTCAGGCAGAGGCACACACACACCCTGACATCCTCTCTGACCCCGACTGCTTCTTCTCCCTCTCTGCCCAGGGCTGCTGCTCTCTTTTATATGGGACATTACGTGTTCCATGGTTACAGTTTTTCCCCAATGCCTATTACCTCTATTAAATGGTGCTTTTCTACTCTAAACCAATCTGTGAGTGCCAACATCACCAAGAACATGGAGGTAAGGAAGAAGAAAGAGGGAGGACAGGGCAGGCTCACATCCCTCCATCTTAAAACCTCTGACCCCCATGTACAAAACCAAAACCCCCCTGTACAGGACTTAAAACCCCCCCTATACAGCACTCAAAAAATCTTCCTAGTTAAATTGCAAAAATTACACTTTTTCCTGTTGCTAAGGCATTGTTTTACTGCAGTACCTCCTCTGCTTTACACATCAGCTTTAACCCTAATGAAGCCCTCAAACTTTGCCCTCCCTTTTTGCAGCAGCCCTGTCACACCCAATTTGGGATGCTCCCAGTTTATCCTGCGGGCCAATCCCACTTTGTACAGCACAAATCACCGTGGATGCTCTCAGCTGAGGGACCTTTTCTCCTTGGAAAGGTTTGCACAGAAGCAGTGGTCTGTGCTGACATCTCATGGCTGCTCTGAGAACTTGGCTCAGTTTGGGAAGAACCCCTTCAGCACTTGCAAAACAGCCAGGCAGACCCATGGGCTGTCAAAGATCTTAAAGGTCTTCTCCAGCCTAAACTAATCTGTGATTCTCTACTAATTTTTGCATGGAAGAGCAGAGAAGACTGTCATGCTCAGTACAGCCTTGCTCCTGTGTTTTAACCACAGGGTGAGAGATTCTAATGCAGGAACTGCTGACTCCCAGTCAGCAACACCTCTGAGCTGCTGGCATCTGGAGTTAAAATATCAGCTGTTGGAAAATATGTTGATAACCATCATCTTTTTAAAACATAAAAACCACAAAAAAATCTTAAATGTTTTTATGCTGCTGTTCTTAGGAGATACAGCATGGTTATGTTTTGATTTAGATCAAGCAACACAGTTTTTTAATACTTTTGTGGCATAAATGTTGAAATTAATAGCTGGAGCTAATCAAATTTAATATCTGAGGAGACAAAAAAACCCAAAAAAATGTTTCTTTATGTCATGGCTTATTTGCATGGTATGACAGACTGTCTAAGAATTGAATAATTGAACCTGACTTCAGGCTTGTCCAGACAATCTAAGAGAAGTTCTGGAGGAAACAACATGCTGCATTTTATTGTGGCTCTTAATTTTTACCCTCTTTCCATAATTTTTTGGGGAAGAAAGTCAGGAAGTTGTGCTCCCAGTATGACTGAATAAACTCCCAGCATTACTGAATTTTGAAATTATGCAACAACTGTCAAAGCAGAAGAGACCAAATCTAACCTCTCACAATTATGAGATTCAGTCTTCCTTTGCTAGTAACTGTGGCAGCATTATCCACTCCAGAGCTATGAATATATCTCTGCACAGACTCTTCAGGCACAGCTGTAATTCTCCCAAGCCTAATGACTA